CTCCACTTTCCACAACGAGCACAGCGCACATCCAAAAAACCATCATGTTCGTGAAATTTGTGGCCATAACACGGGTCCAAGTCAAGTCCTGAAGGTCTCGTCTGCAGTGGTGATGTCACCAACCAGTCAATGACAAAAACGGCAATTATGGGCTCAGATCTAATCCGGGGCTTGAAAAGATGTTGAGAAGGTCTTCCTGATGAGGTAAGGCCACGAATTTCTGCGTACGAATCATCGCGAGCGTATGCTCTCGCGAAGCGTGCCAAGGATGGAAAGTAACTATTTAAATTTGGAAGCCTCCGCAGCCCCCATCAAATTGCTCCCCGCATAAAGCCATAATTAAGTGTCTCCAAAAATGCACCACTGTGAAATGGAGCCCTGATCCAGGGACTTAAGTGGCTGTACTTTTCCTCTCAGCCGGCGAAAGAATGCAGAAGCAGAGGAAAAACACTCGTGCAGCACGTTACATAATCCCAAGGCTGTATGAATCTGAATTGGACTCATTTGGGTATCGTTAAAGCCCTCGAGCTTGGTGTCTCTTCGTGTTTACATTACCAGTCAACAATGGTTTCTTTGTCCCGTGTCATCACTTGTAATTCACTGTGAGGATTGGGGGGGGGGGGGGGTGTTGCTTGTCTGGTTGTGTTGAAACTGGCGCTGGATTACGCTGTCAACCCTGTTGCGAGTTGGCCATATCTCACCATCAGTAGATAAGGCTTGGGTTACATCGGGCTTATCACATCATCAGCGTTTGAGCTGGTTCGGATCCAACATGAGTGTTTGGTGACAAACCGCTCCGAATACTGCATGCGCCGTAATCCCGGGTTTCTTGCTCGGTGGACGGCTTCTAACCCCGCGTCTTTTGTAGCACATCATAGCCAGCTGTGTGGGCTTCTCTTGGCTCATTAGGAGATCAAACGAGACGCCCGAAAAGAAGTGGGCAGAACTCTCTAGGCACAGTGAGCCACTCCAATCACGTGCTGATATTGCTGGCAGATGGCGGCCATACTGTACCGGCAAAGTGGATTCAGATGTGACAAATGCTCTTTGATATCTCGTTGTGTATATGATTTAGCACGCCTCTCTGTTTGGACATGTCGACAGTCGCTTTATTTCCCCTATTAAGTTTTATTTGCATCATTGCGATGTCGACTGATAGCCACGAATCTTTCGTTTGCTATCCATCTGAAAGGAATTATCAACATCAAATCAATGCAAAAAATAAGACAGAACCATTGAAATAACACACATTACTTTTGTGATTTGAATTACAGCCACTCTGATTTATATTTTAATGAATTGGTAATTGATCTTTAATAACGCCGGCCAATCAAAAACACGTTTTTTGGTGCTTAGGGCAAACGTAGATTGAGTGTAATTCAATCACAACTTGTATAACTCCAATTTTTTTTCTTCCTCTCTCACTTAATGATGTGCCAGATGCCTGTCAGTGCTTCCTGAAGCTTTTTTTTTTTTTTGTATCCCTCCCACATACAAGAGACTCACAATGTACCCAAGAGACCATTGCCACCCCCATTCATGCCACCCTGCAAGACTTTCATATGTGAGCAATGCTTGGCTAAATAGGCTTAAACGTAAAGGATCCAAAAGAGTTTGTTTTTGTCTTCAGTGATTCAAAGGGGCTGTTTTTTTAAATGTTCTAGTTTTGAAAACGCATTTATTTTATAAAAATCCAAACAAAACTGCTCAGGTGTAGCTTAAATAATGTGTCGGTGCTCTTTGAGTAAGGGAATAAAGGGCAAAAATCAGTCCAAAGCTCTCAAAAAATATTAAAAAAGCTTTTATTGAAATTGCTATTCCTTAAAACCGCCGTTTTAAAGAATAGCCATGTCAAAAAAATGCGTTTTTACAGTTTTTACACATTTTTGAGTACTTTGGACTGATTTTTGTTATTTATTTTATAATTTGAAGAACATTTTGTCTTTTGTGGAGTAAAAAGGCTTTGTGGAACCATTAATATCAATAAAAGGTTACATTTTTGGGAGTGTAGCTGAAGTTTTTATTATAAGCAGCTAATAAATTATCACTTTTTAACTTTTAGGGTTTGTTTTCATGGTAAAGTGGTAAATATCTGATAATCAGTATTCATAGATTTATATGTTTCATTCCTTATTACACAATTTTTTAAAAAATATTTAGTGTTTAAGCTTTAAGCCTTTTTTGACTTTCATATGCGAGTACTGCTGGGCTACTTCAACCAGCTTACACATAAAGGATTTAAAAGAGTTTGTTTTTGTCTTAGTGATTTAAACTACTGTTTTTTTTATGGTTCTAGTTCTTTAAAACACATTTATTTTATTTTAAAAAAATCCAAAATCAAACAAAAATTGTTCAGAGGTCGCTTAAATAATGTGTCGGTGCTCTTTAGGTAAGGGATTCATCAGAATAAATAGCAAAAATCAGTCCGAGGCACTCGAAAAATGTGTAAAAAAAATGTAAAGCCTTTATTGACATGGCTATTCTTTAAAACTGCACCATTTTAAGAAATAGCCATGTCAATAAAGACTTTTTGATATTTTTTCTACATTTTTCGAATGCTTTGGACTGATTTTTGCTATTTATTTTATAGTTTGAAGGACATTTTGATAATCCGAAGAACTCCTTTGCACTATAACACATCTTTTGTGGAGTAAAAAGGCTTTATGGAACCATTAATATCAATAAAAGGTTTAATTTTTATGCGTGTAGCTGAAGTTGTTATTACAAGCTGCTAATAAATCATCATTTTTTATTTTGATGGGGTTTTTTCATGGTAAAGTGGCAAATATCTGATAATCAGTATTGATAGATTTGTACGTTTCATTCCTTATTACATTTTTTGTGTGTTTAAGCCATTAAACATTAAACATAAAAGGGAGAGTTCACCCCCAAATTTCAAAGATTATTGACTCTCCGTTCACTTACTCTTTTTGACTTTCTTCTATTAACACAAAAGATGATATTGTGAAGAAAGCTGGAAACCTGCAATTGACTTTGAGTTTTTCCTGCTATGCAAGTCAGTGATTACAGGCTTCCAACATTCTTCAAAATATCTTCAAGAAATTCTTAAAGGATTAGAAGTATTTAACGGTGAGTAAATAGCATTTACTCAACATGTTATGGTGAAATATTCTTTTGAAGCTAAAGCAACACAAACATTAAGCAGAATTTTGATTGACTGCTGCCACTGATTGAACAAAAACAGCCCTGCCAAGAATAATTAGACCTTTTGTTTCCTATTAGGTTTATTGGCCGTGTCTGTGTTCCCGTCAAAAATTATGGACCCATCATTCGAATCGTTTTTTAAAAACGAAACACATTGCAACACTTGGGTTAATCACTATGCGTGAGTCTGTTGAGTCAGAGGGAGAGATTGCCATCTACAGTATCATGAAGAGATGGAGAGTTATTAGATGACATGCATTATAGCTGCACTGCCAGAACATGAAAGACTGTGTATCATAGAATCAAAAGAAATGTTGCTCAAAGGATGTTGAAACGGCAGACTTTAGACTTTATGAGCTTGAGGTGTGTGTAGAAAGTGTATATAATATGAGTCTGAAATATTCTGGCTCACTCAAATTATCCCAGCATGATGCTCTGAGTAACACTTTCTCAGACAGAGATATGAGAGATTGTTCATTTCTTTTAATTGAAGCCATTCGTTTTTGGATAGCAGGGCTCTGTAGTGTTTTAATAATTCAGGTATTTGTTAAACAGAATAATAATGGTGTGACGGTCATTTTTGCTGCCTGCATGATGAATTTTAATGTTCTGAAAATCATGTTTTTTTTTAAAATGACATATTACAGTTTGACAAAACTCATCTATTGAGGGATGTTGTCAAAGTTATAATGATAAAGTATAAATGTATAGCTTGTCAAGTTCAGTGTGCTGATTTTATGTAGAAATATTCACTGTATGATGGATACTTATATTTATATAATTATATAATAATCAAGTAGAAAAATATTTGAATGCCAAAAAAGATCTCTATATAAAAGTATAACTACTTGGTGTGTTTTACTTTAAACAAATCCAAAACTACATTGAGAAGTTCTTGTAATCATTGTGTGGTTTCATTTCTATGTGTGCATATTCCATTGCCTTTGCGTAGGAAAAAATGCTTTGACTAATATAATGATGTCCATTCTGATCTCAAGGAAAACATTAACGTTATATTAAATTTTCTCATAATGCAGTAATTGAATCAATTGAGAACCCAGAGAGGCCATTTATTCTTTTTCCATTCAGACATCATAAGTGATAATAGCCAGTTCTAAACATTCTTACTGTTGATATAAACGCTCATTGTTCTAAAACAAAATGACTTCTGAGTGGCTTCACTTCAGTGACTGCAAGATGTTGGAAACTATATGAACCACAAAAAAGAGAAATCCCCGTCTTCAAAGACCAACCGCATTGGAGGCAACAAACATTGCGCCTCCTGAGCTCTTTTCATCCTTAAAGCCTAATTTGATCCCGCGCGCTCTCGCGGGAGCGCTGTCCTTCTGATCCTATACAACCCAAAGACAAAATATCAGCCATTTATTATCATCTATGTTGATATAACACATATTGTTTATATGCACATAAATCGGACTGTGTCTATGTATTTATTCGGACTTTAAGCGATCGCGTGCCGCTGATAACTCCTATGTTTTTTATTAATTTTTTAGACAGTTTGTCTAATCTGCTTTGATAAGATCCATACCATCCTAAAACTTCTTTTTTTTTGTGGAAACCTGAGTAAACCGTTCAAAGTCTCCTTGTGGCGGTGAATTAAGCGCCTTTTAATACAGGAAACGTAGTTAATGACGACTGCGCGCAAAGCGCCAATTGAAGTGTGCTGGAGTGTGTGTAACCCGCAGCACTTCCCAAACTCATCAGACTGCAGCGCTGAGCGCACGGAGAGGGACTGACGGCGCTCCTTTCACGCAAACGGAGGACATACGGTGCTCTTTGGCTAATTTAGACTGTTGTGATGCGCATTCCCGTAGATCCCAGCGCCGGCCGGAGGTTCAGCCCGCCGGTGTCGGTGAAGATGAACGACGTGAACTCGAATGCAGGACCTCAGCAGCAGCAGGACGGCGCGGTGGTGCCCAGACTCCGCGCGCAGGAGAACCGCTCCATGGCCGAGATCATCGCCGATCACCCGGCCGAACTGGTGCGCACGGACAGTCCCAACTTTCTCTGCTCGGTTTTGCCTTCTCATTGGAGGTGTAATAAAACCCTACCGGTCGCGTTTAAGGTAAGAGCTTGACTTCAAAAGTGCGTATTGGTAATAGTCTAGGACTACATACGTTTGTGTAATGTATTACAAGTGGCTTACTAATGTGAACGCTATAATGTGAAGTATTTGTAGCCTAATATGTATTATGAATAATTTAATCAAGTGAATAATACGAACCCAATGCATGTTAAATTACCTGTGTGGTTTTAGCAATCACTATATTATAATGTTGTAATAGTTAAAAAATCACGTCTAAACAACTTTAACGATAACAGATAATTTAGCAAAATTTGGTTGTATGATTTAGGATAGAATGTTTTATTTCTAAATTGTAGTCTAACTCTTTTACTATCCCTAGAGATAATAAATATTTTAAATCAAGAGTGTAGTCCAATTTTTCACTATTCATCAGACCCATCAGTTTTAATTTACACAAAAGATACTTACATTTTACGATTTTAAAGTCAGTTATAGCTCATTGAATGTGTTTGTCTTCTTCAATTTTGTCAATTTGTCTTGAATAGTTAGTGTGTCAGTAGACTGAATCTTGCCTTTGTACTATATATACTTTTAGTAAGAGCGCGTGAAAAGCATTTTTCTTAATAGCAGAGTAGACACTGGAACACAGCTCTGTTTAATAAGAAATTCTAAAATTGCTCTGGCATTATTCAACGTTTGATGTGTAATTCTGGCCTGTGGCAGAAACATTGCTGTTAGCTCGTGTTTATGGTCAGGCCTGGGCAGGTGTGGTTAGCTATTAGGTAATTGCCAGATTAGTAGCTAGATTAGTAATGGTGAAACAGAGCTGCAAGATGATATACATATATGTGCAAATGTGTTGCCTTAGGTGCAGTATATGCATGCAACACATGTTCAGACTGTTACAAAACTAATGCAATCTAAATTTTAGAAATGTTTAATGATATGACCACACCATAAAACAACTATATGGTAAATAAATCATGACAACATGTTTTTTATGTTAATTGTAACTTATTAAACTAAATTAGTCTCACTTCTAGCTTGTTTTTTTTTAATACAAACTGTTTAATAATTAATTAGTCAGTTTAATGTTATTAAAGTTCAAATGGATCATAAGACTAATTTGATTCAGTTTGCAGTAAACATTTAAGAAAAAGTGTCATTTTTAAAGTGCATGCAATACATTTATATGAAATATAAAAGCATTTATATTTTTCACTGAGGTTTGTAAACAGCAGTAATCATTCATCAGAAACTGCATGCATTAAACATTTCATTAATTTTAAAATAACTTTGCATCATATTTGCTATTGTCTGCATAGTCTTGCTATAAAATAACAATCGCTGAACTTTCTGATGAACAGGATATCTTTCTTGCACAGTTTGAAGCATTGTATCTTGTTCTCTCCACAGGTGGTGGCCCTGGGTGAGGTTCCCGATGGGACTGTGGTCACAGTGATGGCCGGAAATGATGAGAATTATTCAGCGGAGCTCAGGAATGCCTCAGGGGTTATGAAGAACCAGGTGGCCCGCTTCAATGACCTGCGCTTTGTGGGACGAAGCGGAAGAGGTCAGTACATCTTATGATTTTTTTATTTATTTAGTAATAATCATTGCAGTACTTGCTTTGTCATTTAATTTTATGCAAGTTGCATATAATTGATTCTTGTTCAGAATGGTCTATATCAAAAATTAGCTTAACTGGGTGTTTTAAGCTTGCCTACAGCATTTTGGTTATTACCGCTTTCGTTATAGAATATTAGCTACCATCAAACCATGAAATAGCCTAACATGGAAGGATTGGAGTCATGTATATTAAATAATTCATCACTGAAGATGATTGCATGGATACAGGGCACTTAATTATTATTATATAGTGAAAAAAAAATGGATGATTCTAAAATATTATTGTAAATGGATGCGTTGAAATGGAATTTGAGGTATGGAATATTGTTTTTGAGTGCTGAATGAAATAAATATATATAAAGGTAATTGTCACTTTATATCAAAGTCACAAAAGGAGTTTTTCTTGTAATTGGGGGTTACAAACATGTATTTAAGACAGAATTACAGAGATATAAACTCATAATTTTAAGAAAATAAATCAAAATTACTCTAACAATGGTCAGAATTGGCAAATATAAACCCAGAACTCTGACTTGTGTGGTATAAACTTTAAATTCCAACTTATATAGTCTAGTTTGGGGAGGAAAATACATTCTATTTTCTTGAAGCACTTCTTTTGAGACAAACAAGGTACGAATTATACATTGATTATCAGGGGGGTCAACTTTTTGTGTAATTTTAGTTTGTGTAATTCATGCTTCAGTATTTATTTAAATTATATTTAATTTAATAATAAAACATATTTAAGTTTCGTGTTTTCTATTTGTGTTTTATAAACCTAAACGTATTTAACTGTTCTGAGGGACATTTAGTGGATTCTGACCTACAGTATCCTTTGATAAGCTATTTCAGAGGTCAAACTATACAAACTACTCTTGTAATTTGACTTTACTTTTTAGGCTATATGTAGAAACAAGCACTTGTTTTAATGAGAAAACAGTCTTGTGAACACTTACCTTGTCTATCGGTGCTTTAGATCTGCCAGTTTTAGACTGATGAATGAATATTTTCTTGCATAGACTGATTGGAACGATTATGCATCCACAATGGTATGAACTGATGCAGGGGTGCACAAATGTATATGGACTGTTTTTACCAATTAATATTTAAGATACATATTATAAAAAACTATTTCTGTTGGCACAATAGACTATTGCAGTGGTGCCCAAACTCGGTCCTAATGGCCGGTGTCCTGCAAAGTTTAGTTCTATCCCCAGTCAGATACACCTGGGCTAGCTAATCAAGCTCTTACTAGGCTTTTCAAGAAACATCCATTCAGGTGTGTTGAGGCAAGTTGGAGCTAAAATCTGCAGGACAGATATGGTGCGGTAGCATTTCAGGGCGTCCAGAGTTCGAATCCTGGCTCGAGGACATTTCCCATCTCTACCCCCTCTCTCTCTCTCTCCCACTTCGCTTCCTGTCTGAAATACTGCCTACCTATACAACTTGTTTTGACGTCAGTCCCCCCCCCCCAAACCACCCTGTAATTTCAACGCAATCTTACGGTAATTCGTAACTTTTTGATTTAATGGCTAATTCGTATTAATTTGTATGATCTAATTTGTACAATTTAGTATGATTTGCTCCTCACCCAATGGTTGAGTTTAGGGGTGGGGTTGGGTGCCGCGCCTCCTTTTTAAAATCGTAAGATTGAACTTGTACGAATTTGTACAAACTAGCCACTAAACTGTAAAAACGTAAAACACTTACGTTTTCTCATGAGATCAGGGGTGCGTTTCCGAAAACCATCGTTAGCTAACTAAGGTCGCAAGTTGCATCATTACAAACAGTTCGTTGATTTGCCATTTCCCAAATCCAACATTCGTGAACTGCATCGCAAACTTGTACGTTTGCAACTACACCTCTGGAGCTGTAGTTAGAATCATAGTTCCTGGTTGTGTTGTATTTCCAGTTATCCCCCTATGACCTATTCATTTCGAACCTTTCAACATTTAAACTTGGAATTATTTTTTTAAAAAGTCATCTCTCTTAGATATAATTAGCTTTTTTTTTAAAGTATTTTTCACAGTACAGTTTTAGCGATCTTCATATTGACAATTGCGTTCCATTCGCAGTGCACTTTGACAACATTTATGCCATTTTGAACACAGCCATGGCTCATGAGGAAAGCTATAGGCTATTATTTCAAAAGCGGAGTTTACTTTATGTGTCTAAAGCTTGTGAAAACAAAAATATATAGCATATGTTAATGTTTTTAATTTATAGTAGGTTATTTTTTTAAGAAAAGCATCTGTATATGACCTGAGCCTGTTGGTTAACATTTCTGCAGTGGTTTGAATGTGTCAAATTGTAAAAGTAGACTTTTAATCAAACAAATCAGTAAAATAAAAATAAATCAGCAAGTTACCTACTTAATAATTATAAACATTAAAAAACAGATTATTATTATTATTAAGTAGGATATTATTTCATTTCTTAATAAACAGCCTACTGTAAATTACAACAATTAGAGATTTATATATGAGATTAAAATACATGTTAGCTAAGTGGTTTTAGAATGGAATATGGCATATTCTTAGTAATATTTGTAAAGAAAAGATTGCCCCTATCTGTGTTGTTTACATATATTTCAATTAATATGGAAAACGAGTGCATGTTGTTACCAAAACAATTTTTTATTGTGTGTGCCTGTGAAACAATATAAATAGCGAAAAAAAAAATGTTTTTTTTCTTTAAAGAAGTAGTTAATCGACCCTGATTAGAGCGTCATTATGAACGTTTACGTAATAACTAACGTGGTTCAAACAATGGTTTTGAGACAGGGAAACTATGGTTTTGGGAAACACTCATCACTACATCGCTCTTTTCCCAATCGATGCATCATACTATGATAGTTCAGCCGCGAGTTATGTTGTTGTTTGGGAAATGCTCCCCTGCCTGGTAATTCGCAACCTGGTGAAAAGATCACAATTATCAGAAATAAAAATCAGAATTGCTTAATTATGTCTCATAATTAACTTTTTTCAGTGGCAGAAACAAGCTTCCATATATCTATATGGAAATCTTCATCTAGTCCAACTCATACATTGCAAAATATAATGAAAAATATTTGAAATAAGAAATAGTCCAAATGTTGTATTTAAATGCACAATTCAAAGTAAACAACCGTGTTGTGTCAGCAGAATTGAATGTTTATCTCCTAAAATAATTTCAGGTATTTTAGCATCAAAAGGTTTTTCACATCAATCATATTCAAACAATACATTTCATACCAGTTAACCTCAGTTTACACATGCTTAGTATATTACCAGCTGCATTATCGCGCCATGCAATTTTCTATTAAGTTTAACCATTGAATGTTTATCTACACTTGCACAATGTCATGTGGAGAAATCCTCCAGGGAGATTTGGTAACAGAGGCACGCAGTCACACAGGGACACATGACATTCTTAGAATAATTATAGTCAGTCTGTATACAGAGCTATCAGTTACGAGCCAACACCGTTGTGAAACCACATCACCACATTGCCGGTAAGAATGTACTCATTAAATTACAGGTCTGTGTGCGTACTGTGCTAGGGTTTCTCACACCAGAAACGCTAACTTAAGAGACTGCCAGTTCTTTTGTTTTGTTGGAAAATTTGGTTTGGTTTGGTTTGGTTCATTTAATTTAATTAAATTTTTATTTTTATTTTATTTTATTTTATTTTATTTAAATTTAATTTAGTTTAATTTAATTTAGTTTTACTTTATTTATTTTATTTAGTTTAATTTACTTTATTTTATTATATTTTATTCATTTTAATTTAGTTTAATTTAATTTTGTTTTTTGTTATATTTTATTCATTTTAATTTAGCTTTATTTGATTAGCTTATTTTTTTATTTAACTGATTTTAATTTAATTTAGTTTTATTTATTTTATTTTATTTATTTTATTCATTTTAATTTATTTTAATTTGTTTAGTTATTTTTTTCATTTTAATTTAATTTAGTTTTATTTATTTTATTTAGTTTAATTAAATTAAATTTAGTTTAGTTTTATTTCATTTTATTCATTTTAATTTAATTTACTTTTACTTATTTTATTTCGTTAAATCTAATTTAGTTTTATTTCATTTTATTCATTTTTATTTAATTTATTTTTATTTTATTTTATTAATTTTCATTTAATTTAGCTTTATTTTATTTATTTTATTTTATTCATTTTAATTTAACTTAGTTTTATTTTATTTTATTTCATTTATTTTAGTTAATGATTACTAAGACTATGATTTAGAGTTATGATTTAACTCTAAAAATATAATTATGCTACTGCAATACTCGTCTGTCTAGTCAGCAAACAGATAGCCACGCCCCCAAACTTATACCATTGGTCGAGCCAAAAAATAAATAAAAATCAATATAAATAAACCAAAATATCAGAATTTTCAGGAAATCAGTCGAACAATAAATTGACTCGGGTTTTGTTTCAATTAAAGATGTTGACCAAATTTTCATGCATCGTAACATTAAACCTCAATTAAAAAATCTGTGTTGTTCAGGCTTTTTTCACTTTCATGTCTTGTACTTTAACTAAAAACAGTCCAATAAAGGCGGAGCAAAAATAAAATAAAATAATCTGAGCATAATACAAAACGATATACCAAAAAAAGAAGGTAACGTTTTTGGTGTGCAATCCTATTATGCCTTGCGATTGAAAGCTCTTTTGCCTTCAGCACTGCCTTAACCCTTTGTGGCTTAGATCCAACAAGGTACTGGAAATTTGGGTCCGTATTGGCATGATAGCATCACGCAGTTGCTGCAGATTTGTCGGCTGCACATCCATGATGCGAATCTCCCGTTCCACCACATCCCAAAGGTGCTCTATTGGATTAACCTCTGGTGACTGTGGAGGCCATTTGAGTACAGTGAACTCAATGGCATGTTCAAGAAACTAGTCTGAGTGAGAGTGTATATTGTTTCAGTATTGTTCACTCCATCAAAAAGCTTGCTATATTATCTGAAAAATTAATCACATCTGAATTAAAGTAATAAATTATGTAAAATATTCTAAACATTTGCAATCATCATAAACATGGATATAAAAATCAACTCTATTATTTAAAAAACGTCATTAAATAAAGAAGTATGAAACGTTATACAATATAAAAAATATAAAAAATGTTTATTATAAATATGGTAACATAAATATGGTTATTATAAATATGGTAACACAATATGGTTGTATTATTTAATGTAATTACAATGCTAACATGAACAAACAATGAACAATACACTTACCACAGTATTTATTCATGTTTAAATTCATTCATTGTTAGTTCATGAAAACTTAACGATGCATTAACTAATGTTAACAAGCATGAATTTGGATTTTAATAATACAGTAGTAAATGTTGAACTATGATTTATAAATGCTGTACAAGTGTTGTTCAATTATTAGTAGAGATGTGACGATCTTGTATGACGAGATCTGGCAAGATTAAATTGCGATGAGATTTCCTGTCGAGGTGAAAGTTGTCTCGTGAGGTGTGATGTTATGATGGAGCGTGGGGGTGAAATTAGCATTGAAGATCAGAGGCAGGATTGGATTCAAACTGCAAATCAACTGCTTTCCACACACCTGGCAACCCAGGCTGGCCTCAGAGTTGAACGTGTCACTCAGTTGGGCTGGCAGGTGTGACATAACCGCTTTCAGTTCAGCGGCTGCCGCGTCCAACAGAGCCTACAACTGCAGCCACACACATGATGGTTCATAACAATGTGATGGAATAGCACTGCAGATATGCTTAAAGTCATAACCGTTGTAAACACAAATGGAGTTAAGTATTTCTATTTCAGTCACATTATTGAAGTGCAGTACAGACATGTAAAGACCTGAATCAAACTTTTAACTTCGGAAAGGACTTTTAGCTGCATTTTGAGACGGGATAAGACATAAACACGTGGCTGTTTGACACTATTCTCTGCACCTTCCGAGTTTGGTCAGTCATCACATAATCATCATCATCATCATCATCATCACTTAAAACATGTTTATGCTGTCCGGGAAAAGCTTTTTTTTTTTTTTTTTTTATTTCATTCGGCACGTGGTATCAAATTACATTACAAAATACATTACATCCAGTGTTTGCATGTCCTTTATGGCATGGAATTAATTAAAATAGAAATAAAATACCCTTTGTTAGAATTTTTTTAAAAAGTAGCTAAATTGTTTTGCAGTTTGTACTTTATTTATTTATTTATTTATTTAATTAATTAACAACTTTTTTGCTTATATTTAAAATTCTATGTTAAAAGGCTATTTTCCATTCACATAGACTATTAGACAAATATTTTAGTATTTTCATGTTCTTTACATAGAATTCATTAAAATAGAAGTAAAATAACAATCATTACAAACTGATTTTAAAAAATAACACCTAATAGTTTTGCAATTTGTGATTTTTGTTTTCAGTTGAATAAAAAACTATACTCCATTTATATTTCATCATTGAAGATTTCTTTAAAATTTAGTAAAAATCTCGTCACGTGGAGTAAGCGTCTCGTCGAACCCCTATTAGTTCATGTTAGTAAATACATTAACTAATGAAAACCTATTGTGAAGTCTGACCATAAATATTAAGCCTAAATTAATTTCTGAACTGTGTTATACATGTACAAATACTCGCATGGCTCTCTTTTTGGCACAAATCCAAAAATGTGGAACACTTTGCACATGTTTTGCTTGCCTCAAATATAGGTTTCGGATGATACAAAAAATCCTCTGGAAAATATAGCAACAGGAATCATTTGCTCGGTTCATTCTTAAAGCCTCATGTTTTGTGACACATGAGGTTTTCTTTGATTTCCAGGAGATTCCAGGACACGGTGACATGCTATATATTGTGTTACCAATAAGTTCAAATTATTTTCGCATTATGAGCGGCATTTGGTCGTATTTAATTATGTTTTATGGTCCCAAGTCTTGTGAAATCAGTGTCAGCAGATCCACGCTGCTGTGTGGTGCTGAGATTCCACTCGTCCTGCCAGCTGTTTCCCAGCGCTGCCAAACTCTTCCACCCACTGCTTCCCGTCTCCCCAGCAAACCAGCCGCATTCATGAGTAGCAACCATCCGAGCGTCATGTTAATCCCTTGTTCCCCCGTGTTAAACCGCCAGAGAGCACAAATTGTCTGGAAACGGTGTTTAAGGAAGTGAGCTGTCTAGATAGCCGATGCCACAGTGTAGCGTTGCACAATTTCCCAGCAGCCCAGCGTTCTGTTTGTGATTGCACTTCTGAGGGTGTTAGAATTATTATGTAAGTCAATATTTTGATTATATTATTTACCCAAATACATAAATGTTAAAACGCTATTTATTTGTTGTACAATAATATACGCATTAATGTTTTTAAAAGTAGTATTGGAAGTTATAAACGTCTTCTATTCTAATGTGCACATTTAAAGCGACAATTTTACCCAGAAAGGGAAATTCTGTCATCATTTGTACATCCTTCACTTGTTCCAGATCAGTTTTAGGACTTGTTTTGTTTTTCTGTTGAATGGAAAAGAAGATATTTCGAGGAATGTTGGAAACTGGTAACCACTGACATCTATAGTGGAAAAAGCTAATATTATGGAAGTCAATGGTTACCGGATTCCAACATTCTTCAAAATATCTTCTTTTCTATTCAACAAAACAAAAAAAAAATGGTTTGGAAGTCAAGAGTGATTAATTATTTTGGAAGTCAGTATTTTAATCTTATTATTTTTCTCAAACACATTGTACCATTTCCAAATCACATAAATATTAGAGACGCTATTAAATTTATTAAATTATAAAAAAACAAATACAAGATTGAACTGTTAAAAAAACTACTGGGTACTTATGTTTAGTTGAATAAAGTTAACTGTATAAGTCCTTTGTAACTTACGTTACATTAAAAACTTAAGACATCAAGTTAAATCTCGTATTAGCTGCATGTGACATGTTTTTTTGTTTCTCTTATTTAAAAAAAGTTAATTATGTTTAATTTTTATATAAAATATATTTGACCATGCATTAACATCTGATGGGTTATTTCAGCAGGCACGAGATTCTTAAAGATGACCCATATATTTATTTATTTAATTTTGCAATTGAATAAAAATCTATTTTCCGTTCATATATTAACAAATATTTTGCTAATATTTAAAATTCTATATTATAAGGCTATTTTCCATTCACATAGGCTATTAGACAAATGTTCTTTTTCTTTTTTTGTCTAATATATGAAAATAAGCTTTATGTGCTTTACTCCATAGAATTCATTAAAATAGAAGTAAAATAACAATCATTACAAACTATATATGTATTTAAAAAAGTTAATTGTTTAATTTTTATATAAGATACTGTATATCTGACCATGCATTAACATTATTATATATATATATATATATATATATATATATATATCTTTTAAGAATGTTTTTATCTTTTAAGAATGTTTATTTTAGGGGGGTTCAGCTCCTTATGAGGTAAAAAATTAATTTATAATTTTAAAATATAATTTTATTACCTATAATCATAATAATTTTACATATACAGTTGAAGTCAAAATTATTAAAAGCTGTTTTTTCATTTTTTGTAAAAACCACTTAAGGTTATTATTGTTAGCACCCCTGAGCAATATGGGGGGCGATCAAGAGTTAATTAGCAAGGTCAAACCCCCCTGGAGTCAGGATGACAAAACAACTGATTAAGAAGAAAATATAGTCACTGCAAAATTCTTTAAGAATTGGGTGTGAAACCATAAATTCAACCATCAGTAACTCTTTATTTTCCAGTTCACCACTTTTCCAAAAATGGAGCCTGATTAGACTCTCTAGATATACAAGGTGTCAGGTTATTAAAGCTTTTTTAAAGGTCCCATGAAGTTCTTTGAAACGTGAATGTGTTTGGTTGATGTTTGACATAATCTCAACTGAAACATAAAGAGGGTTGGGACAAAGTGTAGCCCCTCCCCTTTTTAAAAGCAAATGAGGAGCGCCTTGAAGGGGGCGGGGCATGTCAGATTCTAAAGAGCATTTGATTGGTCAAGATTTGATGAGAAGCTGAAGTATGAGGTGACGTGAATGAAACTGTTGACCCATTTAGGCGGAAGTGACAAACTACCAGCTTTACATGTTTATATCAGTTTTAGATCTTCTAAACATGAATTTTGTCATTGTTTTGGAGCACACTAGCTTATAGATATCCTTAAAACTAACAATACTGATACCAACAGTCTAAAAAACTTTCACTTTAATTTCATGGGCCCTTTAAAGGAATAATTCATCCAAAAAAATGAAAGTTTTGTCATTATGTACTCATCCTTCACTTGTTCCAAACCTGTATGAGTTTCTTTTTTCTGTTGAAGATAAAATAATAAAGAACTTTGGGGGAAAAGCAGCCATTGACTTCCATAGTATTTTAGTTCCTATGTTTTCCAGCATTCCTCAGAAAATCCTCTTTTGTGTTCAGCAGAAGAAAGAAATCCATAAAAGGTTGGAACTACATGAGTGTAATTACATAATGAGGAAATGTTCATTTTTTTAGGTGAACTATCCTTTTAAGAATTATATAGTTTTGAAGTGGAACTGGTGAAAAACACATGATCAAGACACTGACTAGCACGATTACACACCCACTGTAAAATAAAGCAAGTCCTTCGATCATTAGAATGATCTCTCAGTGTTGCCCTGACAGCAAAGTAAAGCCCTTAAATGTTTCTGTGTCTGCACAGGGAAGAGCTTCACCCTGACGATTACAGTATTCACAAACCCACCGCAAGTGGCCACTTACCACAGAGCCATTAAGGTCACGGTGGACGGACCGCGCGAGCCCAGGAGTGAGTACACCTTATATTACATACTGCTGTGACTAACCACATCCATGCGGCCTGTCATCACGCTCACCTCTCTGTCGGGCCGCAATCGCACCTCATCAAAGGCCTGCGGTCGGCCCATGCATGCGCCGCTGATTGATTTATTTATTTTTTTGATTTCAACCTCAATCTGACGTCATGAAGTCATCGTGTAGAGGTCTGGGGAGCAGATTGATGACTCGAAGTGTGCTTTGAATAGACTGTTGACTTGGTTTCGGGATTGGTTTTAATGTTGGGGACTCGTGTGTGTGACTTTTGAGCTTTATGGTTAAGCAGGCGTATGGTTATGGTTAAAAGTAAGTAACGTGCTCTGCATTAGTCATGAAAATAAACAGTTTGCTGAATTCATTGGCTGCATATAAAATTAAGAGACCACTTTAAACAACCTTACATGGGTTATAGTTAAGGGTTTGACTTTTTTGCAGTATTTCAATGTTTTTGCAGATATGTTTATTCATTTTTAGACAACACAATAGAACTGTTCTAACTTTAAAAGAGGTAAGAAATCAATATCTGGTGGAATAACCCTGATTTTCAGTCACAACAACTGAAAACAATGTTATTTTGACTAATTTTCTGCAGTTATGGCAATATTTTTGATTTGAAATTTGGAAGAAATGTTACAGAACTTATTATTAAAATATATAAATATTAACCGTTTACTCTAAAACATCCAGAGAATCTGAGAGTGGTGTCTATCTAATTTATTTATTTACTTTCTTAATCACAGGAATCTTCACAGCATTGCAAAAAATGAATAAATAAATAAAGAATTTTTATTAATATATCTATATCTCTGAGTGGATATTTAATGAAAAAAAAAACTATTTTTGCTAAGTGAACATGTCTGTGATTGGAAAGGAAGCCTTCGTTATTTGGTGAAAAGCATGTAACGTGCTCCGCATTAGTGATCAAAATAAAGAGTTTACCGCCTTAAACATCTTTTTATAGTTTACAGTTATGGGTTTGAGCTTTAAAACTTTTGCAAATAGGTTCATTTAATTTATATTGATATTATTTTCAACTTCAATAAGGTAAGAAATCTATATTTGGTGGAATAACCCTGATTTTCAGTCACAACACGTGACAATTTTGACCAATTGTTACTTTCTAATTATGGCAAATTTTGAAGAAATGTTACAGGACTTAAATATTAACATTTTACTCCATGCCTAATACTTCTATAGAATTTAGGAATTTAATAAGTGGTATCTGTTTATATGTTTTAACACAGCTTGAACTGTTTAGAATAATATGGAACTTTCCCATAGACTGTGACAGTTTCCAAAGGGTATGAATAATTTTGTACAAACCACTAAACTTTTCTGTTTAGCTGACGGTTCTTTTTCCACAATGATGCGTCTTGTACATTGTCTTATTATTTTTTGTGAAAAGCCTGTGCCGTTCCCGGTCAAAAAACAACTTGTTGTTTGAATAAAAGTAGTCAGAACTCACCAGGAGTATTACTATTGCAATATATATATCGGCATTGGCAGGAGGTGTGCGTTAGGCCGCAGGCCAAGTGCCTTAGTGTCCCACCAGTGATGATATACAGGCATATCACACTGCTAAGAGTATGATATTGCGTTTATACAACAGTTTGACGTCATAATCGTGTAAATAAAAAAGAAAATCAAACTCGGAGAGTCTAAAAATTCTTTTGTAAGAGGAACTACTTTCTTTTGCCATTCATTCACATCTGCAGCTGACGGTCAGAATAGCAGAAACTGTTACTAATTCACCAACGTCATTTTAAAGCTAGTATTTGAATGATTCTCTAGTGTAATATCTAAAGTGATGACAAAACAGATGATTTGCAAATAATTAACATCTTTGCATATCTAAAATGCTGCAAACAAATGAACCTTTTACTCAAATTGCACACCTAAAAGTTCAAAGCAAAACCATAGAAAGTCATATTGTCAAGGGCTGTGTAATATTAATTTACTAACTCATATTTATCTTAGCATATTTTAGCAATATTTGTATTGTTAAAAGTATTTAAAACAAATAAAAATAATAATAATTGAATATATTTCGCATAACTGATGTTTTTAAAAATGTATTTGATTTCTCTTCAAATTTCTCTTCAAGTTATATATTGTTCTTAAAAACATTTTAATGTTGCATATTTAATATTACATTCAAGTACATTTATTTTTATTAGTTTTTGTCATTTTTAATGTGCAGAAAACAGCTTATTTTGATTTGTAAGCAGACACTGTAGAGAATTCTGTTTTCTGCATGTTTCGGTGTTAATCAGCTGTCTGTCTGTGTTATTGTCTGCACAGAGGTTCTGCCACGCTAACATTGTGCTTGCATCAGCTTGTTTTAATAGCACTTATAAAACAGCGAAGAAGAAAAAAAAAACTACTACATCTGTCAGTGCCAACTGGTCTGGCAAGCAGCTGTTTTACTTTATTATGAAAAATATATACTTTCGCCTTGGCGTGGAAATCAAGCCTATCACATCCCTAACAACATTTCTGCCTCTCTTTTTCTCTCTGGCTTTCAGACTATTCTCAATGAACACATATGGTACGAGTATTTAGAGGCACTTTAGACGCAGCGGCTGTATATGGTCTTGATTCTTCATTGTATTACAATGGCCTCCAGCAACTACAGGCCACAGCTTTGATGTTGAAGACTTCCTCTACCGCTGCCTTATCTATAAGTGAAGTTTTGAAGGGCTTGCAGGCCGTGTTATTGTGCGTAGGAGCAGATGAAAGGTTTAGAGAACCGGAGGTCTCTAAGGGGACTTTTTGTGTTGCTTGTATATTGTAGAGCTCTTGTCTCAGCTACACTTAAATATTGCTCTTCAGGTGCTATATGTTGTCAGACTACAAGAAGGCAAGACATTACAGGTGAATTAAGTAAAAAAAATAAATATATATGCCTCTATTATATCTTAGTGGTCTAAAGTAACAAATTACAAATACTCAGATGACTGTAATTGAGTAGGTTATTTTAGGAATTGTACTTTACTAAGTCTAGTTTTAAAAATGTGAACATTTACTTTCCCTTGAGTACATTTTTAGTGCTGTATTGACACTTTTACTCCACTATTTTCCATCAACCTGCTCTCACTGCTTTCTTGTCTATACTGATTGGCTGAGTAGAAAAATCAGTCTTGTGATTCCCATCCAATCAAATTGCATATTAGAATAGAATCAGATCTGATTTGAGCACTAAGTCTCACAGTGTGAATGTAGCCTAAATGCACTACAGAATGTTACGTTTTCACACACATGCACAAATAGCGTTTAAACACATCACACTTTTACAGTGTAAAATTCACTACTCACTACTTCTGAGTACTTTTAGTAGGGCTACTTTTTACTTATACTTTGAATAATGTTTACTTTTTCTCTACTTGCACTACATTTTTGGGCAAGTAATGGTACTTTAACTTGAGTATGATTTTTCAGTACTCTTTCCACCACTGACTGTTATCCTTAAAAGGATAGTTCATCCAAAAATCATCATTTACTCAAAAAATGTTTGAGTTTATTTCTACTGTTGAACACAAAAGAAAATAGTATGAAGAATGCTGATTGCCCATTGACTTCAATAGTATTTTCTATAACTGTGGAAGTTGATGGGTGCCAGTAACCAGCATTGTTCAAAAGATTTAATTTTGTGTTTAGTTTTTTTATGAAGAAAGAAACTCAGAAAGGTATAAAAACAAAATGAGGGAGAGTAAATGAGGTCATTTTAGTTTTTGGGCGAATAAAAGGTTTTTTATACAAAAAATGAAAATTGTTATTATTGATTCACCTTTCATTTGTTCAAAACCTATTGGAGTTTCTTTCTTTTGTTAAAAACAGAAGAAGATATTTTGTAGAATGCTAATTGTCCATTGACTTTCATAGTATTTTGTTTATTCTACTAGAGCAGGGGTGCCCAAAATTTGTCGTATGAAGGGCCAAAAACCAAATATTACTGATAAGCGTGGGCTGAAGATAAATATACCAAACTATTTTATTAAAGTTGCCATGTGAAATTTCCTTATTCCTTTCATAATAATAAAAATAAATAGAAAGCATTACTTTGAATAGGCTAACTTTTGCTGGATAACTTTTTAATTATACCTTATTGTAATAAAAACGTAAACAATCACATTTATAACACAGCTGAAAACACTTGTCAAGCAGAATATGCCTTTGCCTTGATTCGTTTACCAAAGTCTATGCATTGTCCTCAATGCATTGTATGTAAATTTTAAACTAAATCTGATTCATTTGCATAATTTAAATTGAATTGTTTAATTTCAGATAGCTTTTTGTGTAGCTTAACAATAAAACTAACAAATTCGAAATGCTAATCTCTAATTGGTCCAACTTTGGCCCGCAGGCTCTAGTTTGGCCATCTCTTCTAGAGTATATAGAAGTCAATGAATTCTAGCAATCAGCATTCTTCAAAATATCTTATTTTCTGTTTTTCTTTTGTGAAGAAAGAAACTTGTAAAGGTATACACCCATTTCGAGGGAGGTCATTTTAGGTGAGCTATACCTTTAATAGAGTAATTTATTTATTCATCAAATGAATCTTGTTCTAAATATCAGCCATAAATGACATTTTAGTGGGTTTCTTTAGATAATCATACTTAATATATATATATATGATAGTCATTGTTTTGTTTTGTTTAAAGTGAAATTAAACAGCACATTTGAATATACGGGAACAAAAAATAAAGCTTCATTAAACTTTTGTAATGCTCAAACTCTTTTTTACCTCACCTAAACTCTATCTGCAGTTAAAACGAGTCTCAAAGATTCATTCATTCAGCTAGGGCATCAATTAAGCAGAGACAAGAGAGAAATAAACCAACCCCGAAATAAATGAGCAGAGCCCTGGATGTCCATGTGATTGTTTAACAGGCTAATCACAGGTGCCCTCTTAATAATTTCACGTTTCTGACTCGACGCTGATTTTTATCGAAGAACGCCTCATTTGCAATCCTG